AAGGGCTTAAAAGGGCACATTTGGAGTCTTTTGGGACTCATGTTTGCCCATTTATTTTTTATCTTGAAATTAACAAGGAATTTCTAGGTGGCCCTCAGCCAAAAGTCGTTTGTATTGCAATTTTACACAACATATATTTTTTTCGGATTTTTTTGATTTTTTTTTCTATTTTTTAAAAATATTATGCGCTGGGATCGCCCGGGACCCTGCCCGGTCCGGGCCGCCCGGGGACTAACACAGTTTAGAACCAAGCTACTGGATGGTAAAGTCAGTAAGAGTGGGACGCTGGACCCGGTTTCCAGCATAGGATTCACTGAGATGTGTTCTTATACCCTCTGTTTACTTTCATAATGTGAGGGACGCTGGACCCGGTTTCCAGCAGGTGCAGCTCCCCACCAATAGATGGAGCTTTTTATTAAAAAAAAAAAAAAAAAGATGCACACAGGGATTTAAGAAAACAGATGCAAAAGAAAAAAGGAGAAAAAAAAGATGACCACGGATCCAAAATTTACGTACCGAAAGGACAAGAATATTCATTGTCGCGAACAGCTCGCCCCCGTAATCATGTACAATCTGCACAAAGAAAAGAGAGACGGCATTTTTTTATACAAGTCGAGAGGTTTCGCTTTCAATGTTTTGCCCACCAATCCCCGATCAGTTTTTGACACCCAGGGAGTCTCCCCACAGAGAGAGGAGCAGTTGATTCCATGGCTCTCTTGCACCTCCTGCAGTCGGCATCAACCTCCACAAGTGTCCATTGTACTACATAGTACAGACCCTTCATGCTTACCCACTGCACTGAAAAGACTGCCCAGCCACTTGCAGCCAGGCAAGACTACTAGGATTTGGTATTTCTGGGGGATACCTTTTTAATCATTTTCCAAGTGTTTTCCTAACTTTTCCACCATATCGTCCGTCGTGACTTGGTTCGAGCCTAGGTGAATTTCCCACCGAATGGCACATCAGCGCAACTCAACTATGATTGTCAAGAACTGACGTACTATCCCGAGCCTAAGTGTGCTTGCCACTGTAGCCAGAGACTGTTGCATTGAACCTAGTCTAAGTAGCTTGCCAGCGACCGGCACATTCGTCTGAGCCTAAGTGAGCGTGCCAGCTACTGACATGTTGTCCCAGCCTAAGTGCGTTCTTCGAGCCTAAGTGCGCTCGTCGAGCCTAAATGCGCTTTGCGAGCCTAAGTTCGCTTGCCAGCAACTGACACATTCAATTTGGTCCGAGCCTAAGTGCTCTTTCCCACGCCTAAGTGTACTTTCTGAGCCTAAGTGTGCATTCCTAGCGTACGGACAATTTCCGAGCCGAAGTGCGCTTTCTGAGCCTAAGTGAGCGTACGAGCCTCAGTGCATTTCCTGAGCCTACATGTGCTTGCCAGTGACTGACACATTTGTGCGGTTGCCAGCGACCGACACAGTTGCATGCTTGCCATTGACTCACACATTCTTCGGTCTTCTTGTCCGTGACCTTGCCATGCTGAAAGCCTCTTGCCGCTCTGTACTCATGCATTTTACCATGGTGCCTTCCTTACCATGGTAAATATCCACAAGCACAGAGCAGCAACAGGCTCCGCAGCATTCGTACCATGAATGGTCTAAGTGTGCGCTTTATGTCTGTGCTGTGTATTTTTGTCGTTTCCGCTCTTTTAGTTCATAGATTTGTGACAATATATACACATAACGACAAACAGACAGACAGACTGACAGACTGACTGACTGATGGACAGACAGCTGACAGGATGACAGGATGACGGATTGACAGACTGACAGACTGACAGATTGACAGATTGACTGACTGACAGGCCACCAGGCAGGCAGACACACAGAGACGTATGATTGTCGAAAAGATGCCCCAAACAAACAAAAGAGAGAGAGAGAGAGAGAGAGAGAGAGAGAGAGAGAGAGAGAGAGAGAGAGAGAGAGAGAGAGAGAGAGAGAGAGAGAGAGAGAG